TTAACTTAAATTATTAAAATTAATAACCTCAACTCCCTTTGAGCGAGGCGTTAAAAAAATAACACTTACAAAAATCACAAAGCAACACCAAAATGCAACAAAATACAATGTAACAATAGCGTTTTTATTAAACACTAATAAAACAACTTTTGTATAAATAAAAATAAATTCTATAAATCATGCATATTTATTTGAAAAAGTCGGATTTAAAAAGAAGCCGTAAAATTTTACAAGTAACGTATACTAATTAAACTGAAATGTATTACGGCTAAGCCAATTAAAATGGTTTCTTTTGATAATAACAAATAATGATTACCATAACAACCTTCACATAACTAAATTAGTCAGTTATTTACTTATCTTTAGTTTGTGTTTCTTGTTGCTCTAATTAGTTACTTAATGTAAATAATTACATTAAAAACAAATTAATGTCGTTTTTATTTAAAATAATCTAAAAGCGGCTTCTAAAATTAAAAAAAAATATTGTCTAAATTAAATTTCTAATAATATAAGGGGAGTTTTATAGAAATGGAATGGCATTTGAGTTTAAGCCTTATAAGAAAATAAAACGTCTATTAGATCAAAATCATTAACTTTGAAGAAAAAAAAAGCAGTTTCTTGATATTCCAGAATCACAGAAGCCTGTCATACAATCTTATTAGGAATGAGGGGAAAGCAATATATTATCGCTCGAAATACGGATTAATATTGAAATTTTTTTAATCGAAACGCTTTTTTAGAACTAATATTGAAAGTTAGTTTTAAGGAATTAATTCAAAAAAAAAAACCCGAATTTCATTTAGAAAGAATAATGTCGAAAATACCTATACGGAATAATATCAAAATTTGGATTTAGGAAAAGTATCGAAAAACTAGCAAAGAGGAAGAACATGCTAGGAGTGCTGCTACATTGACTGAGGGTTTGGTTTGGGCAGGCAGTCTATCAATTAAAAAATTTCGATATTATTCCAAAAAGTCCCTTTTCGAACTTATTTTCTTTTAAGCTATTTTGATCTTAATCTACTTTTCGTATTTTAGATACAATTCCTTTTTTTACAGTTTCGGTTTTATTCTCTATTTTGATATTATTCCGAAAAGTCCCTTTTCAAGCTTATTCAGTTAGGCTTTTTTCGATGCTATTTCTACTAGCCGGAATGTGACTATTGTTTGTCTCAATTATTCAAAAACGGGAGTTTATTAAATAGTTAAACATGTTTATTGTAGGGCAAGGTCGAGTAGCTTCAGACGGCAGACTTAATGTGCAGCTCAAACTAAAGTAACTATGTGATTATAAATACTATAAAAACATGAGCAACTTTTTTATATAAATAATAATACACTTAATAAAAAGAACAAAATCATGATAGTAATTCATTTAATTCCAATAAAAAGACCTAAGATTTGAAAAAAAAGTGTTTTTCAAGTGTTTGTTTTCGTTAGTAAAAAGTTAATGTTTATATTTCTAAATGATGACATTTTCTTTTCAATTCCTTATATATCAGAGGTAATTTTTAAACGCGATTTAATTTTTAATGTGTTGAGAACAGTCCAATGCTAACTAATTATAGTATATTTGTGTCACACGGGGAAAAAAAGAGGTAAAATTATGGCTAAACTAACCTCCAATTTTGAAACATGCCTCTTTCTAACATTTTTTTTATGTTTTTCATATTACTAAGGTACACAATAATTATTTTTTTGTTTCTAATTCGATAGGTAAATGTTTATACTTTTAAACAAGTCTTTCGACACATGTTTACAATCAATTTTTTCTTTAAATGTCCGGGGTTACCCGACTCTCCCCAACTTATCAAACATTAAACCATAAACTAGAAATGTTAATCAAACTGAAACTAACAACAGTGACCAAAAAGAAAACGTTTTGATTTAAGTTTATGAAATTTTCCATCAAAATGAAGATATTTTATGATCTATCTAGGTTTGATACCAATTTTAAATAAAAAAATTCCAATAACAACGTTTTATAAATTGAACTCATATTCTTAATGATAATGATTAATTGTATATAAGATTAAAACATCAGTTCAATTTATAAAAAAAATTTTATTATGTAGATAATATTTTCAACATGAACTCCTAGAGGAACTTTTTCTTGACCTATTTAAAGTTATTTTATCAACAAATAGCAATAAACAATATATACTTTTAAATATTTAGATATTAGCCGCACACTGGAAAGTTTACAATCATTGCATAAAGGTTTTCAACCATAACTCAAAAGTTTAGTACTTTACTCAAAAGTTTAAACCATTAAAAGGATAGTTCGAAATCTACAAAAAATGTGCTTCATAAGGGTTGTTTTATACAAAACTGGTTCAAACCAACTTGAGGATTTTAGCCATCCTGACGATGAAGAGCCAACTGGAGACGATGACGAAATTACTATATAAAAACTGAATATATTACTTGTAAATAATTATTAAACAAAGTAAAGACATTTTAGCGCAATTACTTAAAAAATAACAAAGATAAAAATAAATTGAGTATTTTTTAAATAAATAATTAATTTTGGTTACTGGGATAAATAAAAGCACTAGAACAACATGGTTTTGTTCATTCAACGCCTTTGTTATTGCTAGGCCAACAAAACGTTACAGTTTGCCATATGTTATATATCATCGTAATAGCTTTTAAGTTGCGCATATTTCACTAGATGTGAAACATGCGCAACACTGTTACGCTGTTTCACTGGCAATATATATATATATATATATATATATATATATATATATAATATATATATATATATATATATATATATATATATATATATATATATATATATATATATATATATATATATATATATATATATATATATACTTTTGTAAATATGTATTGTTTTTAAAGAGGTTCACAACTTTTCTCATTTTATTAAAAAGATCTTTGTAATTGCTAACTAATTCAGCAAATAGTTGATCCAAAATTATTGTCAAACCGCAATCTCCTTGTATAACTTCATCACCATCAATAGTATCTTGTTGATCTTCCTCTTCACAAATTTCATAAGTGTTCAATATTTCTTCAGCTTTTCCATTATTTTTTTTGTACGAGGTATCAATAACCACAAGTTGTATTCCATGAGCATAGCATAGATGTTGATAGCAAGGCATCATGATGCCTATAAATTTGGTCTATTGATGCATCAATAGACCAAATTTTACCATCACACTTGCTCCATCAGTGGTCATGGTTTCTTTTTGAAAAGTCTTTTTGACTTTGAAAAAATGTCTTTTTGAAAGTCAATATCAATACTATTAAGCCTTTCTGTAACTAACCTCCGCAATATTCTGCATAACACGATCCACAAGATTACTACATCTGTCCAACAAACATCCGTGGAGTAGTCCAAGATCATCTGTAAGCTTCTGCATTACGGGTGACGAAATCTTTCGAAGTCGAAGTTTCGAAGGGAACATTTGTTACTACGAAAATCGAAGTAAGTAAATCAAAGCAACTGACTTTGAAAAGCAAATCGGAAAAACAAAGCAATCAGACTTCAAAAATGTTCGAATTTTTTTCCAAAGTACTTCAAATTTTTTTCGATTTTTTTCGAAGTATTCCGAAATTTTCAAGATGTATATCAAACCGAGTTTTAGACCATTTTTAATGGATTTAAGAGTGTAAAAAATATGCAAAACAGAAAATTAAATATATAAAACTTTTTTTAGATTTTATTCTTTGTAACAACTATTATTGCTTGTAATTGATTTATATTATAATTTACAGATGTACAAATTAAGTTTAATCGTCATAAATATCAATGGAGCCACTGTTTTGTTCAGATCCTTTTGTTTTGTCGTAGTGAAGTGACAGCAGATTGATTTTTTTGGTAGGTCTTGGATTTCTTTTCTGTTTCCACTTCTGTTGTTTCAATTGTAAAAGCAGATCGTGCCTTATCCATCTTTCCAATGTTGGTCTTGAGGTAAACAATTTTATCAACATTTGGGGGATCAAATTTTGTTCTTGAATCAGTGACCACACTGCCTGCAGTTGAGAAAACCCTTTCACTTGATGCAGAAGTTAAAGGAATGGCCAATTATTTTCTTGCAATCTGGGAAAGTAGTGGAATCATTTTTGCATGGGCTTCCCACCATTTTAGGATATCAGTGTTTGAGGAATCGGGACGAGGGAGACCTTTGTATGTGTCTAATTCAATTTTAATTTTTGACTTTCCATCCCTGAACAGAATTTCTTCTCCAGACATTTCTAATGCCATTTTTTCAGCTTTGTCAAGGTCAATGTCAAACCCTGTCAGATTAAGGGAAGCATTCCTGATTTGGAACAAAAATTCTTGATGAATTGGATGCTCATTCACCAACCTGTCTTTGAGTCCTTCCAAATTACCACACTTTTTCACCAATGCACCCTTAAAAAAGGGGTGGAGAAAATTTCCCATGGCATGATAGTGATTCTTTGTTCCACTGTTTGGAAATCGCCTATTCAACTCAACAGTCAGAATTTGGGCAAAACCTTTTGTGGCAGATTGTATATCTGATTGAGCAATGGAGTTTAGTTTCATCTGAAGGTTGACCAGTTGGCTGCAGGCAAGATGAAGTCAGAAGAAAAGGCCTCGCTGACTTTCCTGAATGAATCCAAGATAACCCATCTTCCGCCAAACGAAAAAACTGACTCTCTGACGGGATGACATCAGAAAATTCCTATTAACTGTCTCTCAATTTTTCAAGGACTTCTCTCAAACGAATTGCAAAGGTGATCATCATGGACTTCGAGTTCCATCTAGTAAAGCAGTCTGTGATGATCTTGACGTAAGAAACTAAAAATAGAAAAACAAAAAATAAATATTAGGTGTCACAATTATTTGCATGTGTGTGAGGAGGAGGGGGGGGGGATAATATTTCAGTGTTTATGAGATGTGTAATGTTAATTTTTACCAAATACTTCTATTAAATTAAAAGTTTCAATATTAGACCAAAATATTATTAATATTACCTTCTTCACACTTTTTTTTGTTGTCATTTTGACAATTTTAACTTCTGTGAACCTTTGCAGAGAGATCCTGGGCTTGTTTGATTGCCTTGTAAATGTCGTTGTCGTCTTCCTCATAAGATTGGGACGTCCCATTGTGGCTTGAAGACTTGAAAATTTTCTTTTCGTTGGCTTTTTGCAGCACTAAGTTAATCAGCGCGAAGAAGAGCGTCTGTAATCTCTGCTGTTTTCGGAATTGCAGCCTTTATATTTGCTGCTGAATCGTGCACAGCAATCCTTTGAGTGCTGGCTGTGAGAAAAGAAAAGTCTGTTCGCATAACCTTATCCAAAGTTTTAGTTTAGGCTGCAGCTGTATGTTGGCCACTAAATGGCTGGCAAGTAAGAACAAAATTTTTCAGTTTAAAGTTTTTGTTAATAAAGTGTTACTGATATGTAAGAATCATTGCTTCTGCTTGTCCTCATGTCTTTCGAAACCCCAAGGTCTTCACAGTCATTGAGTTCTCTAGCCAATTCCTCAGAAATGTATTGGTTTACCTGTCCGTAAAGCAATGGAAGTTTTTGCCTAAAAAATAAAATAATGATAACCGATTAAATATATATAATGCCAGAGTTTTAATTCCAATTACAATTATCCATATAAACGTTTTTTCAGCAATACAAAAACACACAGACACACATTGAAAAAGTTGTTACAGACTTGACCGTCATCCGGGGTTCCCTTTTAGCCGCATACTTTTTGAATCCTTCCGTCTCAGCAATGTTGAATAAGAGGGAACAGCTCACCAACAACTCAAGTAGGTCGAAATCATAGTCAAGCTGGCGCTTGTCAAAAATTAAAACTTTGGGCTGAAAGTATCCAACAATTGAATTGCTAGGTGTGGATTGGGCTGGCAACAACCTCTTCGTTTTGTGTGTTTTCAAAGGAGTGTTATTTGATGGACTGTTGAAATCTGAAAAAAATTAAATTGAAACAGTTAAACTTTATTTATGAGCATCTAAAGCTAAATAAGAAGTTCGCACATAACAAGACCCGTCTGTATTTTAAATTTTCTTACCGTCACGGTTCTTTTCATACTCGTCCGCATCAAGAAATGCTTGGTGAATTTCCAGTGAATTAGCGTCCTCTTGCTCAGTTTCTGCTAGCTCAGAGGTCACACCATGCAGTGGTAGCCTCACGCAACACTCTTGCGTGAGGCTACCACTCTTGCGTGAGGCTACCACTCTTGCGTGAGGCTACCACTCTTGCGTGAGGCTACCACTCTTGCGAGAATTCCTTTGTGACACTTTAAATGAGACCTTAAAGCGCCAGTTGATGAGTTTTTTAATTTTAGAAATCTTCGGCATTTCTTACACTTTCCAGAAGGATCACGCTCACCTGGAGGTGCGTCGTCAGGAGCCTTTATTTTTTTAAACTCTTTCCACAATGATTTTGTTGAAGGAGCCATTTTTTAACTTGTAGAGAAGTTTTTTTTCAAGTTGTACAACTAAATATTTCGTGATAATATATTGAATGTTTGTTTATTTACTTTGATATTTAATCAGGTAAAGTCGTGAATTATTGTTTTTGCTAAAAAATTGTATTTACAAAATCTAGAACTATAAATTAGTGCTCAACAGACTTTTTTTTAACTTTGAAAATATAAACTTCGAAAATTTAAAATTCGAATTTCATTTCTTTGAACTACTAACTTCTACCTTCTTTGAACTACCAACTTTCTAACTTCAACATACAATTTGCGTCATATTAAAACGATTAAATGCATTATAACATTTTCTCTTGCTTTCTGTTATTATAAAAGTTTATTCATTTTTCTTCCTCTTTGTGAATAAAAATGTTGATTGTAAAACTTTTAATATAATTAATAGAACTACAAGTTGGAGAGCGTCAAACAGTTAAAAAAGATAATTTGCATTTAGCAAAAAATAGCAAACTTTTAATTAAAGAAACTTTGAAGAAAAATTTAACTTTGAAAATATAAACTTCGAAAATTTAAAATTCAAATTTTATTACTTCGAAATATTTTGTTTGTATACGCAATTATAAGGGCCATTTTGTTCAACTTCGAAAAAATCGAATTACGTGTTTTCGAAGTCTATATTTTTAAACTTCGAAATTCGAGGTTCGAAAAAAACGTCGATTCTCAAAGTTTGTCGAAGTAAATTCTTCGTAATGCAGAAGCTTAATCATATGTACACTTTTGTCCAAGATCATCTGTATTTTTCTTTTACTCTAATAACATCTGTCCAATACCATTTGAAAATTCAACGACCCCTAACATCTTTAGAAAGATGTAACTACATCTGGTAATTTTTCTCTAAGTCCAATAACAGCTGGAAGAATTATCTTCAGATGTAGTAACATCAGAAAAAATTTCTATATGTAACTACAACTGGTTAAAATAATGCATTATTAGTTAATTTATCTTGAAAATAGCTTCTTAATTTTAAAATCTAAAGATGTAGTTGCACATATCAGAGGCGATATTACGGGTGTGTGTGCAGGGCCGTCCCGAAGGGATTTTAGAGGGG